AAATCAAATGGCAATCTCACAACTCTTCCCCGGCGCACAGCGCAACCATTCAGTGATGCATTCGTCGGATCCTCGTACATGCATGCATTCATTCAGGCAAAGATGAGACACAAATTGACACACACATCCCACCACTCGAGACGTTTTAATTCCCAATCATCGACAAGCATCAAAAGGGAGGAGAGAGAATAGATCAGCACAATAAGGAAATAGATCGGAGATGAAGACGATGGTGTTTCGCAAGAGACCAAAATTTTATACAAGGGACAGAAAAATAAAGGTCGCAATTTCACACTCGTCGGTTCCCCCCCTCTCTCTCTCTCTCTTTCTCCGATGCGGACAGTCCGTTGTCTCGCATCACTCACGGAGTTTTCACCCCTCTTGGTATGCGTACGCCAGCCAGGTTCGCGCGTGCACCACAGTTGGTCGTGGCCCGCACGTTAACCCCGCATACTCAGCACCAGCTCGTCGGGTCGCCCAGCTCCCACATCAAGTCACCTCTTCACTTACACATTAGCCGACCCTCACTGGTCGCGCTGTCGAGCGCATCGGCCCCCGTGCGAGTGAGGGCCCTCCCGGCCGCGTCACGCAGGAGAAACTTAGTATTTCAACTTTTTAGAGACAACTCGGGGACGACACGGTAACCCGCGTCGACCCTTCGCCGCTCCGGCCGAGTGCGCGAGCTGTACATCCCGCGGTCCCCTACGACAGGACAGGTTCTCGCGGGGCACAACTTACCTTCCCTAAGGGBCTGTCACCACCCTTAGGGGCGTATCCCTACCGAGCTACCGACCCACATGCGAAAGCTTTTGTAATGCAATTGCAGAGGTAGGCCGACCGAGGGCGTTTGCTCGTTCGCTGTAGCATAGGTACGCATGGTTAAACGCCGAAGCGGACCCGAACGTCGCCCGTCCCCGGGGCGCTGATCTCCCAGGAATTGGACCGATGTCGGTCGACTAGGACGTGACATTCCAAGCGTAAGGAATACCTTAATCGATCCTCGTCCCTTCTTCCAAAGACAATCTAAAGTTAAATATCAAAGGAAGACTCAGGTCAACGTAAGTTGACATATATTCTTAGATCAACTTATATGTAACACAATCATGCATACCACTCGTCCCGACCAATTTGATAAGGGTTGATCTGACTTAAAAAAAAACGGGCACAAACCATTACAGGGGTTTCTATCCCGACAGCCTTCCCGGCCTCCATTAAGCGACGTCCTCGTCGCTTACCATAAGGCAATACAAGCGAAAGTTTTTATAAGACCTCACCAAATATATTACATAATCATAATACCTCTGGAATTAACCCAGATTTTACATACTTATACGTGATGAACGACGTTCCCGCCATTCATTTTTCTTTCCTTGCCTAATCTTCTAGATGCCCTTTTTATGAAATACTTCGTGCATACTTCATTACCGTCAACGAGAAGGGCTTACTTTCAAGCCTTTAATAATTCTTTCGAACCTTCCTTTGAAAGCACTTTTATTCAGTCACGAGTTGGAATGGGGTCAGAAATAACCTCTGACAGACCTTTCTCCGGAATCTGGAATCCACTGCCGGCGTTACCCTGCCTGAGGAGTTACAAGAACCTTTTAGAAGAATGATCCCTGCATCATCCCACTGGCGGCCACTCATCTTTGCTTTTGTCCCTCATAGATGGGTCAGGCTTATCCCCCTGATGGGACTCTCTTCAGGCGATAACCCCCTGTCTAGGTCTCGTCAGGCTTAACCCCCTGCGGGTCTTTCGCCATACAGCACATACTGCCAGGAATTTAACCTGGGCCTGTCATGTTCGTGGGGGTGCATTTCTAACACCTCAGCATGTCTCTCGCTGCCAAGAGTTTTTACCCGGGCTCCCCACTAAACACAAGGGTACTCACAGTATACTACAGCATGTGTCGGCACCATCCCAGAGAGAAATCACCCTTTTCAAAAGTCTTTGTCTAATCTGGCCAATTCCCACTCCAACTTAATTGTCATACACGATTTATCTCCTTCATGTTTTGTGAACGCGTCGAGGAGTGGTGTAATTCATTGAGGATAACATCTCGACGTCAAGCCCCGCTTTAGACTCGAGGCTCACCACTTTCCCTCCAATTCCAGTGTCATACATTTGTTAGTACCATACTCGCATGGTTGAACTACCCCTCCCTTATTACCCAAGATGATTACACCCGGCCATAAAGTCGAGGCGACCCCATTTACCACAAATGAAAAGGTGATCAATCTTTCCCTCATGGCGAGGGGTAATCGCCACCCTCACGAGCAAGGTTCCAACAAACATATTACCACCTTCCTCCCTTTCGACGATAGTGTAGTCATCCTCCCCGAAAGAAAAGATGACAGTATCCTGCTATGGACCAGGAACAAAGTTCCGGCGCAGGCCTCACTACCGTCTACGGGGCTCACAACATTAGGATTCCTCACTGCGCGACAAGTAACACAGAGCCAAGTTGTAAGGCATGACGAGCAATTGAACCACATGTCCGACGAATAACATCTATTAATCCAGCCAAACATATGACCCAAGTACACATCATCTCCTTAGACTCGCACTGACGAAATCTCGCAGTCATAACAGCATACACGAAATTTCATAAGAATTCAAAGTTCTTCAGTCCTTCATATGCGTGATGAGTACTTAAGAATATAAGTTTCCATCAGTCGTTTCACAATACTCTTCCTGCAATGAGCATCCAATCATGATAAAAATCTCACAAAGTCCTTTGGTATCACTCTTTTTCTTTACAACAATATTCAATACCTCTTACGCTTGGCGACAATTGTGAGAAAAATATCATAGTCATTTTACAATTGTCTGAGGCAGTAAGACACAACTTCATTATTACAAAACAACATGAGTCACAATCTCATTGATAACCTCTCAATCTCAATGTTTTTATTAATACTTTACAACTTTCTTGGTTAGCCTACGACAAATGTCAAAACCAACTGAACCACAATACAAAAGCAAGAAAGTTACTACAATTGATGCCACCAATTACCTCCTCTACCCTTCATTTCCAAAAATTTTCGCTAAACTCTTGGGATAAACTTCCGTAGATATGCACCCGATACCCAATTCCTACTTCGAGATCCATCCAACTCCTCTATTTCATATGCCCATGTTCTGTTTTCCTAGTGATCCAGTATGGTCCTAGCCACCGACTGTCTAGCTTTCTGGACCACTGTTTTTCGAGCGACATATCATACAACAAGGCGATGTCTCCCACTTCCAATGACTCTTTTCGTAGACGTGGCCTCTTGTCCCATCTTTCCTTGTCGGCCTGCCTGCTTTCAGAAGTAGAGACAACCGCATCCTCAATCAGAAGTCGCCATGATTTGTCTTGCCGTCAATTCCAATAACTCTTTCGTCGAAAGGTTCGTTTCCACGTCTTGTTTTTGCCAAGTGGTCAGGAAACTTTCAATTGGAAAGGTCGCATGCCGTCCAAACCATAATGTGACGGGAGCATACGCGGTTGTTCGCTTGATGGTAACATTCTCAATGAAAAAGGCTGCCCTCAAATAAATCGGTCATCTTGATGGCTACTCCTTGCACCATTTAGCCAACAAGTTAGACAAGGTGGCATGTCCTCGTTCCATGGGTGCATTGGCTTGGGGATGCGCTCTCGTCGTATAACTGAAACTCACCCCAAACCTTTTCAAAAGCGTTTGCACCTCCTTTGCTCGAAACTCGCCTCCTCGATCCATAACAATCTCTTGAATAAATGGATAACGGAGGTAATATTCCTCAATGCACTCTGCCAAGACTAACCCAGGACGTTCGCGAATGGTACGACCATCAACGAGCCCAGTCAAATTATCCCTAGCATCGAAGATATACCTGTACCCATTTATACCAGGTGGCATTACCAAGAGATCCAAATACACCACCACGCCTGGTTCTTCCACATACCGTAGATTTAGGGGTTCGAGGTAGCGGATGTTAGACCTCTGTTGGCAAGGGAAACAAGATTTACAGAAGTCAATCACCATCTTGCTCATCCCTTTCCAGAAATAAAGGCGTTGGATTTTATTTAGGGTTACCTGCGCAGACCTATGCCCGCCGGCTACCCCATCATGCAAAGCAGCGATCACATCCAACTGTCGAGAGGTTCCGCATACCACCCTTTTGGGGACACCATCAGCAGCTATCTTAAAAAGATGACCATCACGAACAACAAATCCTTTGCTCTTTACCCGCACAACCGGATGAACCTCGCTTTCGTCAAATTCCCCATTCAACCACATGCCTATTTTCTTATACTCCCTTTCGTACTCTTTTTCCTTAACCACTTCTTTGACCTCACGGCATCCTTCTTCCACATTCATTATCCTCAGGCGATCCTCATAAACCAACAAGCTCCTGATATATGACACCCTTCCAACGGTCTGGAAAGCGTCATCAGCCTGCGTATGGCCTTGTTCAATTGTTAGCGGATCAAGCATAAGGTCAATGTCATCGGTCAAAGCCAGCCTCATCATTTCCTCTGAAGTCTGCTCGCCCCATGGGTCCTCCTCAATGAAAGGTCCCTCCATCACGAGTTTTTGACGTACTTCGTGAAAGGCAGGAGCATTCCATATCGATTTTCCATGCCGAGAGACCGCATCTGTCAGGTAGGTAAGATAGTTAATACTCAATCGCGACTCCTTTTCTTTCAAAAAGGCATCGACCGGAACTGATTCTTCCGCCTCATTTGTCTCTGGGTCCCATTCAACCTGACTCAGCCTATCAGCACGATTCTGACTTCCCGAAATCCGCTCAATTTCGAAGTCGAACATCCAAATATAAGTCAACCATCGTGCAATGATGGGATCAGCAGGTAAATAATTCCTTAAGGATTGAGCCAAAGCAGTTGGATCTACCCGCAGGATGAAGCGTCTCCCAAACACATAATTCCGAAAGATGCGGAAGCAGTGAAGCACGACCAAGGTTTCTTTTTTGAACTGGGAATAGTTCCTCTAAGCAATATTCAGAGTCCTGCTCTCAAATCTGAGGGGTCTTTCCTGCCCTTCAACATCCCTCTGAATTAAGACCCCTCCTAGGGTTGTGGGCCCCGCATCAGTCTCAATAACAAAAGGAAGTTTTTCATCATCGTCGAAAAAAGGAACTCCAAGGATCAATCCGCCCTCACGGAACTTAGTCTTGATATCCTCCACGGCCTCTTGTTGCTTCGGACCCCATTCCCATTTCTGGCCTTTGCGTACAAGCTTTCGCAAGTGCTCCACTCTGGCGGCAAAACCTGCGGATGGAGATCCGCCAAAATCCACAGGTTTCGAGGAGACTTCGCACATCTTTGATCGACTTGAAAGGGGTCGGTCATTCCAAGATTTTTTTAGTCTTCTTTGCATCCGGCCGGCGACCTCTCTCGTCGCAAAGAAATCCCAGAATCACTGTTTTCTTCATGCAATGTCGAGACTTAATCCCACTAGCTGTGAGATTAAACTCCTTCAACCTCTTAAGAACTTTCACCACATCGTTGATGTGCTCCCAGACAAAACGGCGAATGCCCGTCAACACCTCCGTCAGGTCCTTCGTACAAGACCCTGAAATAGCCAAGTCGTCAATATACGATGAAGTTATGTCAGGACAATAAGGCTGCATAACCCTCGTCATATATCAATGAATAATGGCAACTGCATTCGTCCACCCCTGCGGCGCCATATACATATGGATCAATCCACGAGGACTATGCATCGCCATCTTGGGACGATCCACAGTGTAAATGGGAAACTGATCATACCCGGAATATAAATCAATGAGGGTGATGATAGACCTTCTGCACAAGACTCCGACAGTAGATCCGCATGTGAGAGTCCACCTGCATCTCGCACTGTCACCGAATTCAGCTTCTGAAGGTCCCAAATCCATCGTAGAGTACCATTCGGTTTGATGAAACAAAACCATGGAGATACATATGGCCCGTAAGAATAATCTGCAACCTTTGTCCGGATCTTTCCATCGAGATACGCGACCACCTTACGGTGATCCTCCGGATTCGGATAACGTGGCCCTCTTACATTCCATGGCTCGTGTGGTACAGTATGGACCCCGATCATCGGGATTTTATCGACATCCAGCGTTCCACGCTCATCATCATCGAACGCATAGGAGAGATGTTCATCCCTCAATATGTCGATGATATACCCTTTTTCCTGCTCAGTGAGGGGGTCCTCCTCCCCAATGATCATACTTTCCACTCTTTCTTTGGTTAACCGACATGGCCCCTTTTCACATATCTCTTTCATTTCTCTGATCCACTCGCGCTCTTCACGATAATAGACTTCCTCCTCTTGAATGATCAGCACAGGTACCGGCTTCGCCTTCACGTCTACTTTCTTGTACTTACGTTTGGCGCCGGTGTCAAGCTTGCATCCTCTAAAAAAGGACCCTGTCGAGTGGAGGGCAATCCCTGATCTTCTTCCTTATTCTCCTCCGACGGGGAGTAAACAAGGCGCATAGCTCCTGCGCTTCCCGTGTCCGTGATGATCTCCGTCAATGCCTGCACCACATTCGGATCGATCGCCGGATGTGTCGACAATAAATCGATTGCCTGCCCAATATCAGGCAGGGTCAGTAAAAACTCACGAACATTCGACTCTTCCCCTAACGATTCCTTCTCCCTCGTCAACTTTTCTGACTCTGGGAAGCTATAGGATTCCAAGTTCAGCTGGTTCCGCGAGCAATAGGGTCCAGTGTTCGCACACTTGACCACTTCGTAATAACCTCAGACAAGATCACAAAGGATTACAAACATGGTTCGATCATGCTTGTTAATGATGATGCTTTCTGACCGACATAGGAACGCTCTTCCCAGAATCACCTCGTGGTCCACCGTAGGTAACACGTAAAAATAAGAGCGGACGTTGACCTTTCCGACCGTGACGAGAACGCCACTGGCTGTCCCGCAGAATGGGGTCGATCCGCTAGCGCCCACCAGAAACCCATAGTTATCTCGGTTGATCTTCAACCCGGCTTCGATGGCATGGCGCTCGCGAATGATGTTCATCTCAGCTCGATCATCCACAAGTGTCGAGTACTCCTGCTGTCCAATCTGGACCTTCATATGGCCGGTTGACACACTTCGCCAATCCATCTTCGTCCCAGACGGGGACCAGTTAGCCTCCGGCGGAATGACTTCGCCGAGTTTAACAGTCATGACTCTCTTGCGAGTCATTCGCTGTTTAAATGCTTCTCGAATCTGCGGTGATACCGCCAAAATTTCCTTCAGCGTGACCAAGTCGCGCTGACTTTCCAGAATCTTATTGACAAGTTGCTCGATATCGACCCCCTGCTCCACAGGGATCGAATAAATCTTCTTCTTCTTTCGTGGCTCCTCCTCGCTTACTTCGGCCTTCCCTTTCTCCGGCTCCCTTTCCAATGCACGACGACGAGCCCGTTCTTCCTCTTCGGCCCCCAACTTCTCATCCTCGTTATCCTCATCATTCTCACTAACGGGGATATGCTCTTCTTCCACTGCTTTTTCAGACTCTCTTTCCTTCTGAAGTTACTCGTTTCGTCGCCGCATTCGAGTCTGAACAACTACAGTCGGAGCACTCGTCTTTAGCATAGGCCTAGGTCGCATCGTGCTTACCATTGGCCCAGTTTGCGGTGCTTCTCTCGGAGCAGACGTCCCTGCTTGGCCAGACGCATCTTTCCCTTTATCACCCCATTCGCCGAAGAGACAGATATTCGGCAACAAAGGCCAGACTTCCTTAATGTCCCCGCAAAGTCGGATAATAGAGTCTCGGCATCAGGCAAGTCGCCTCGTGATGGTTTGCGCTCGTTCCACCACTTGTTCCCTAAACCCTCCTGGTTCCGCCGACGAGTCATCAATATGTAACGACGCCATGGCCTCCTCGACCCTCGCCAACCGCGCTTCTTCGGGAGAAGCAATGCGGAACGTCGCCGGCAGCGGACGACCCATTCGGCGAAATGCCTCCTTCCTCATACCCCCTTCAATGTTGGGGTCGATCAGGTTCCCTTCATAATCAAAGACTTCACCGCTTATCGTGGTGAAGACAATTCCTTCCTTCTCATCTCTTGAAAGGAGTTAGCAAAACCGCATAATATGGCCCTTTTCTGCGCAATAGTTACATGTGGCTTCTTGCTGCCACGCCCAACGGCTTCGCTGTCCGTTTCCACGGCCTCGACCGCGGCCTCTTCCACTCTGCGGCTAGAACTGCCCTTGATCGTGGGAACTTTGTCCTGACGAACCAGCGCCCGCATTGCCATTCCCTCCTTGATTATTTTGTCCACTGTTCTTCCCCTGTTTACGGGAAGTCCCCTGTGCGCCTCGAATTTGATTCAAGACCTTCCTCTCCACCTTTGTCAACTTGCGAGGCGGCTCCTTTTCTTCCTCACTCTCACTGTCACTTTCTTCCTCCACTGGCTCTTTCCCTTTCCGCTTACTCTTTTTCTCATTGGCCATCATGACTTGAAACTTCAGCCTTTCCTCCTTCATGCCCTCCATCATTTCTCTCATGCAGGTCAAAGTTTTGTAAATCTCACCGTCCTTCACCTCTCCCAGCTTCACCTTTTCCCGTTCCTCCTTTTGTTGCCTCAACAGCCGGTAGAGGATATCGTCGAACTTCCCCACCAGCGCATTTTGCCGGACCTTAGTCCAGTCATACCTCCCTTGCATCCCTTCAACCAATTTCTACTGTTCGACGTCATTGAAGTTATCAAGGAAGATAAGGCAGCAATCTTTGTCGGACAGATCCGAGATTAGGCGAGCCACACGCTCAAATTCCGATAAAAATTGTTTGGTAGTACCTAACTTTTTACGATCCAACGCCCTCAAATCCTGCAGGTCGAGCAACCGGTCGCTGAAATGGTACTTCTCCAACAGCCGCGCCTTAAAATCTGACCAATCATGAGAGATTCGCACCAGCTCGTCGATCTCGTCTCGGTACCCCACCTGACAGTATCTTTTAACCATGCGAAGCATCTTCTCATTTGTCCATTCGTTGCTATATCCCAATTGCTCGAACTTGTCTACCCAAGAAATCAGTCTAGGAGTTTGGTAGCATCTATTAAGGTTCCTTCCTTACACTTATAGAGGTTCAGAGATTACTAACCTTTTGTCTTAGACAACCATTACGACATGATCTTTTACTTGTTCCATTCCCGGGTGTCGTTCCACCAGGGACAACGGTAGTTTTCCGTTATCCCCGGCAACGATGCCACCTGTCGAGCGCATCGGCCCCCTCACGAGCGACGACCATCCCGGCCATGTCACGCAGGAGAAACTTAGTTTTTCAACTTTTTAGAGACAACTCGGGGACGACACGGTAACCCGCGTTGACCCTTCGCCGCTCCGGCCGAGTGCGAGAGCTGTACATCCCGCGGTCCCCTACGACAAGACAGGTTCTCGCGGGGCACAACTTACCTTCCCTAAGGGGTTGTCACCACCCTTAGGGGCGTATCCCTACCGAGCTACCGACCCACATGTGAAAGTTTTTGTTATGCAATTGCAGCGGTAGGCCAGCCTAGGGCGTTTGCTCGTTCATGTAGCATAGGTACGCATGGTTAAACGCCAAAGCGGACCCGAACGTCGCCCGTCCCTGGGGCGCTGATCTCCAAGGAATCGGACCGATGTCGGTCGACTAGGATGTGACATTCCAAGCGTAAGGAAAACCTCAATCAATCCTAGTCCCTTCTTCCAAAGACAATCAAAAGTTAAATATCAAAGGAAAACTCARGTCAATKTAWRTTGACATATATTCTGAGATMAACTTATATGTAATACAATCATGCATACCACTCGTCCCGACCAATTTGACAAGGGTTGATCTGACTTTAAAAAACCCGGGCAGAAACCCTTACAGGGGTTTCTGTCCCGACAGCGCTAGTCCTTGGGATTTTCCGAAGTTTTTGGAGAGAGCTCCAATCGCTCTCGCAAGATTTATAGCGTGCATAGATGCGCGACAGATACGGGATTGTGCTTTCGAGAAGAAGTGGAGGAGAAAGGAAGTGCCTACGTTCTGCATGGCGAGGCCGCGGCGTGGGGGACGTAGCCACTCTCCACACATCGATCTGAGCATGCAACGCCTTGGACAATCAGATCGTACGGAGGCACATGCATAACAGGAAGAAGGGAGGTGGGAAGAAGGCGAGAGAATCAAGAAAAGAGATACAAATACAATTGCGCCCGCCAAAAATTACAGTTACACGCAAGATTAAGGGCGCCACTCAGTCAAAACTTTGCTCCCGGCGCAGGAAGGCGCGCACAAGCAAGAAGCACGGCTCAACAAAAATCTCAAAGTTCCTAAATTCCTATCTAAATCTGAATTGCAGAAAAGGAAAATTTCGAAGAACGAAAACTTGAAAAACAATTATGAGGAGCCCACGGGGTCTCGACATCAACTAAAAGAAAGTTTTGAAAAAGGAAAACGATGTTCCCGCGCGGTCATTGCGCCAAAATTCCCGTTTCCCTTCGCCCCTGTAGAACAAGAAAGAACTGATGGCAACCGTTATTGATTGCACCTGTCGTGGCGGCCCCCCCCTCAACCGTCCGCCTTCCCCGGCCCTGGCCTGACATCACCGAAGAGAGAAAAGAAAAAGCGAGGATACCCATGCAATTTGCCCCCTCGACCCTGTTCTCCACAGTTCGCCCGATTAGCCCGATCCGTTCCCCC